TACTTTTTAAACTTTTCTTTTTTCTTTCTAAAGTTTATTCATTTATTTCTTCCATGAGCAAGGGTGTCAGAGACAGAAAGGAAGAGAAGTGGGCAGAGAACCCCCAGCAGGGGCCTGCAGTTTACTCCCTGGATACTCTTGGCATACTCAGGTCTGGAGGTCTCCGGACTTGAACTGGGAACCTTCCTCCGAGGAACTGGCTCACAGAGTGTCATGTTGTACTGCTTCACCACTGTCTGGGCCCAGAAACACATTTTTTAAGAAAGAATTTTTATGTGGGTTTGGCGCTGTATGCCTGTCATCCTAGTTACTCAGGAGACTGAGACAGGAGGATGATGAGTTTGAAGCTTGCCTGGGTAGTACAGAAAGACCTCGTCTTAAAAAAGGGGCTTTTTTTGGGGGGGGAAAACAACAACGAAAAGTTAGCTCGCTGATTCGAGGCAGGAAGGTGGAATGTTCTTCGTGGCTCTAGTTAGCAGCTGGCTTTGGCCAGTTCTTATGTGTAAACAGCAATTTTCCAAACTGGAAGGGTGCTGGTGTTTCCTTTGTGGAGCCAAGGGTGTGTGGAGAGCAGTGGTGTTTAGTTAAATTACGGGTTTAGATGCACGACTTCGCAGCACTGATCTGAGAGGTTGTCCACTCCCCTCACTTCCTCATGCACACAGGCAGGAGTGGACACACACACACACCCCGCTTTCCAGACTGACCCTTAACCCATAGGAGGAGGGCATCTTTTGGGATGGTGGTGTCTCCCAGTGGTACAGGGTCTCAGGTAGTATCAGGTGTCTCGAATATTGGCAAGCACGCACACACTAAAGTGTTTTCTGCATCTCTTCCACCAGATCCTCCAAGCAAAGGAAATTTAAGATCAATTTCTTAATGGATTTTGGACTGAGCCCTCTCTGGCTCCCTCCATCTCAGTGTGCTGTGGGGAAGCCAGCTGGGGCATGTGAGCATGATGGTGTGGAGGGTGGCATCCCCGTACACCGCATGGCTGAGTACTGTGTGGGTGTGAAGGTTAGAAAACAGCTACCTAAGAGGTCTAGTGCAGGAAGAAAACACAGGTGACTCTTCACTGGGTGGAGGGATTTTTATAATGCAGAGGGATATAGAACCAGGGGGCGGCAGGCACCTTGTCCTGTTGTCTGTTTCCAAGGTCAGAGGAGGGTTAAAGTTCTGGGGCAAGCAGAAACCAAGACTCAAAGGGTAAGATTAGAGTTACGCCAGTATGCACATGGGCACACACACATCCACATAAACCTTACATAGTATTGATGGAATTTGAGGATGTCCGTTTAGTCCCACCGCGAGACTGGTCACCACATCCCAGCCTCACCCTCTTGCTGCCGTCCTCAGTAGCCATGGAGATGGAAGGCATATGAAAGGAAGAAAATGTCATTCTAGGGCTCTCTGCCTCCTGCATCCCTCAGAAGAATGCAAATTGTTGACCGGTCCACAGTCCATTTAGCAGTAATGCCATCAGGATTCCCAGAGTAAATCATTCCCACTTCCTCACGCGCCCCTGGAGGGAGAGGTCACCAAACACAGCCCCGCTGTCCCCAGCAGCACTCCCTTCTCCTGAAGCCAAGACATCAGTGAGCAGCTAACCAAGTGTCGCACATCTTCCCACTGGCCTTTCCACGTTTGGAAGGTTTTCATTAAACCAGTTTCTTTTTAGTGTTTGCTCAAGGGTGAGATCCATCACTGTGTGTAAGCCGGTTCCTGGAGAGGATGTTTAGAAACTTGGATCCTTCAGTGCATTGTCTGGGGCCTGGAATTTCTCATCTTTCTCAAAAAAAAAAAAAAAAAAAGATAAAATAAAATAAAAAGTTTTAAAGGCATTTAGGGGACTGTAGATTTATGGCTAGGTGTCTACCTCCGTGTTCGGGGCTCTGTCTAGGCAGGTTTACAGCTCTAAGGCACCGGTGGTAAGTGTATGAAGAGTCCTTTTCATTTAACCAGTTACCAGAGAGTGAACATTCTGTTGACTTCTGTTATTTGGAATGAAGACACGTTGGTCGTTTAAGTCTCTGGGTCCACATGAATGTTTAGAGCATAAATAGGACCTGTTCTATATCTGCCTGTCTCTAAGCTAGTATAAATGATGCCTTGGGGTTCATTTTAGAAAATGCATCTCTAGAGTTTCTTTAAGTTGAGAACTCCACTAGTGCATATTTGTAGATTGCATTTGTGTTCCTTAACAGATATTTAATTACTTGGCTAGGGTTAAAAAAAAAAAAAGGAATGAAAAATCTTAAATTAAACTATTGGGAGTCTTTGCCTATCTGAAATCACACAGAGATGCAGGAAAGTGTTTTTGAAATTATAGTGGAAGAGACTAGGGCAGTAGGAGCTTTCAAAGCTTTTTTTATAGCATGCCTTTCTGCTGTTTATTCTTAGCTCGAAGGATGAATTTAGTAACTGACTTTGGATTCAGTTGTAGTGACCATTTATTGAGTATCTACATGGTGCCCCTCACTAGACACTGGGGCATGTTATTTAATTTAGTTCTAGTAGAACCTTCTGTGGTTGGCTAACTATCTCTCTATTTTATAGTGGATTTAATTCTGCATTTTACTAGAATGGAAGCTCCAGCAACTAACTCTTCATGTATCTGTTGAGTAAAGGCATTAGGAAAGTTAGATTATAAAACCTGGTGATGAGTGAGTGTAGGGGAGATTTAAATCTGAAGAAGGCCTGGTGGCGTTCCACCATTAAGGTGACCTTGATTTACCAGGGAGATCGAAAGCATGCATAAGAGAGGAGATGGACAACAAAAAGCAAGAATAAAGCCAGTCCTTGGCCTGGTGGTTAAGGCAGTTAGATCCCAGATGACTGACTGTGTGGTTCAAGTCCAGGACTTGGCAGCTTGAAAACACTCCAGTATGTGTGTATGCATGCCCTGAATCCCAAAAGGAGTGAGAAGTGGAGAAGAAGGGATTGCAGGGTGACCCTTTCTCATGGGGTGCTTTCTCCTTCTCTCCCTTTTCTCTTTCTTTGTCACTCCAGGGAGTGCACACACCCTCTGGCAAATTAAAAAAAAAAGGCAAGACCAAGAAGCCCATCAGAGTTCAACAGAGGTTCTTGGAGCTCAGTGTGCACACTGTTGGTACCGTCATAGTGTCCTCACGTGCATCATCTCATCCAATCTCCCCTCATCTGAAAGTAGAAGAGAAACAGTAAACACGGCTTTGAGCACATGGGCAGTCATGCACGGCCCTCGTAGAAATAGGCAGAATTGCTAGGATGGTGTCTTCTTGAGACAGTATAGGAAGTTCATTACAAGGAGCTTTCAGTTTGGGGTCGATCAGTAGGCTGTGGTGGCACACGTCTCTGCTAGGAGTTGCTCATCTAATGCAAGTTCCCTGTTGTCTGAGAGCCTCTCTGACACAGCCATCACACTCTCTGACACATGAGCACTCAAGATTAGATGGCTCTTTGGGACTCTGGTCCAGCGCCTCATGGAGCAGAGGACTCAGACGTAAGGAGACAAGTCTTGTCCAGACACAGCCAAAGTTAGACACAGAAGCTGGGTCTCTAGGGCCTCTTCTGTTCCCCAGGGCAGCTTGCGGATAACCGCTGCGCCCCAGGTGTCACTCAGCTGAGGCTCTCCTGTGGGATGTGGGTCGGTTCATTCATTCACTCAGCAAATGTGCCAGGATGTTTGGCAGGGACAGTATCCATGCAGCCGTGGCCCATGTACTCCAACATCCTACATTGAGTTGTCACAGATGTATATGACATTGTTTCTTTATGATATGCCACCAAATTGGTGAGACCCTGTACCCATTGAATTTTTCAGGTTTACATTTTAACATTAAAACAAAATAAAAAATGTCACATAGCCTATACTCGATCTTCAGAACGAAGTTTATTTCCATACATTTTTGCTTGCATATGTTTCCCTGTTATGAACAATTTATATCATCGAGCTTCGTTCTCCCCTTGCTTTGGAATTGCTGGGATTCTGAGATATGGTCGTGTCTATTCATTTTTGTATGCCACCAGCCATTTGGTGTGGGCTTGGATGTGCCTGACACTGTGCTTGGCATTGTGCAGGATTCCCAGTAGAGTCAGGGACTTCGTGTATCGAGGAGGAAGTGTTAGATTGTCAGGAAAATCATGATGTTTTCCCCTGGCATTTCCCCCTGTTTTTCCATGCAGAAATGCATCATGACTTTCCTAACAATCCAATAGTTAGCGTGAGGTGGAGCGCAGTGTGTGCTAAGAGAGTGGTATGGATACAGTGTTGGAGGGATTTCAGAAGAGGGAGGAATGGTTCCTAGCTGAGAACACAGATAGCTATTTTGAACTTTGGAGAATGTTATAGCTTGCCGTGGGAGATTTAGGCATGGAGAGGCATTCCAGGGATAAAGACCTATACGAACAAAGATGTGGAGACCTGGGGCTTAGCTGGACTTGACAAGGGTGCAGGGTGAAGCAAGATGAATCCCATAAAGTCAAGATGGGAAGGAATGCTGGGGACAGAGTTTGCAGGTGGTTCCTGGGTGCGAGGTCAACGTCTATCTCATTTGCAAACGTAGCCCAGCACCTCAGCCAGCTCAGCACAGACTGCACGCACACAGTTTTGAATTACGCGTGCGTTTCTTCTTGACAGGTTTTGTGGGTACTTTCTGAGCCGCAGTTTTTATGCATTTACTTCTGTTTTGTTCACATCTCTTAGGCTTAAACAGCTTGATGTGTCACTTTCCCTTTATGCTGCACATCAGAATGAAGCTGAGTGTTGTGGGTAAAAAGGTTCTGAAGTCCACTCTGTGCCTGTATAAAACGTGCCCTTTGGGGTTGCTGTCTGAATGCCGAAGAGGGGGAGAGCAGTGTCTCCCGCACCCTCAGACACCCAGGGCCCTGTCTGTGCAGCTTAAATATATCTAAAACGGCCTTGTTAGAGAAATGTGGAGAGTGGCTTGTTTCGGCATCTTATCGAGCACTGCTTCAGATAACCTGGTTAACCCGTGCCCTTCTCTTGTCATTTCTTGCAGATGGTCACAAGAACAAAGAAAATATTTGTAGGCGGATTATCTGCGAACACAGTAGTGGAAGATGTAAAGCAATATTTCGAGCAGTTTGGCAAGGTAAGGGCTGTGTGGGGCTGGAGGGCACGAGCTAAAAGTAGCCTAATCAGTCCTTGGAAGTGGCTGGGGGGGGCCCCCAC